ATACACTGATGTGTACGCAATTGCATACTGTCGTTCATTGTTTACAAGAATCATCATGTTGACTGGAAAGACTTGGGAATAATATTATTTCTCGCATTCGTTTGACTGTTTGCAGTATTAGTAGTTGTACATGTCTGCTCCAAATAGCCAAATGGGAATTCGTTTAGTTGATGAAGTAAAATGTTCACATGCAATTACGGGAGTCGTAACATATTTGTATTACTTTCCTCATAGTTTTCTATGTACAGAGTGTGACTGAGATTAATTCAATGAGAAGCAACTCATCTGTATTTTGTTGGCCCTTCTTAATTTATGATGATTAAAGTCATCTCTAGAATTAAGAATCTGCATCTGTATCTTTAGACGAGTTCAGTAGTGTTCACAAAGCTGTACATGTTTGAGGGTGTAGAGGTTCTGCAGGGTTAAAGTTTTTATTAATAATATATTTTGTTTGAACATCGTCATTAAGATGGCCGAGTTGGTCAGGTTAAGGTTCTGATCCGAAATGACGTGGGTTCAAATCTCTCTTTCAACATATTAGTCTCCCTTTTTTTATGTTATCTTTCTGCTCAAATTAGAGATTACGTTACTACTCTGATTTAACATAATCTGGTCACACTTTTCTATTTGAATAAAGTCCCTTTATATTAATATTGTGATTAATTGGAAGGGATGTTTTTATACTAAATTAAAGTAATAATGACTAAGTCTGAAATTCAGGTATAGTAAAAGGATGATAGCTTTGCGAATGACCTGGAACGCTATCTTGGATTCCCATGTGTTGTTGCTCAGTTTTCTGAAAGAAGGAATGTTGGGTCGTATAAGTCTTAATTAAACTCGTCCTTCACAGGACTTATCCATGGTGGCCTGCATTGCAACAAATTATAGCATACTTTCTGGCTTTAAGTTGCACATATTTTCTGACACTAACCCAAAACTTTATGTTTAAGATTTTTACAAATATTCAGGTTAAACTGACAGATAGCATGTCTGTCTGATCAATGGTCCAGGAGATTCTGGACCACCCTCAATATTCCTTTATCAAGGTGGGTTTAAATTTAGATTAAAAATGATTTCAGCTTAAAAGAATCAAACATAAAATGATCTGAAACTGAAACGATTCCATGTAATAAGATTCATAAATTTTGTGTTTAAATCTGCAACACCAATTTCATGTTCATTGCATTAACAAGTAGAAAAGCAGAGATTATTCCTTTCTTCCATCCAATTCTTTACTTGTCTTTCTTCAAAAACCTGTTTCAACTTTTAACAATCTATATTACTTTTCATCCATTTTTGTACGTTGATATAAAATGTTTTGTCTTTCTTCGAACACGTACATTTTCTTCCCCATTATTATTAAAATTATATTTCTTTTTCTTCAAAGTAATAAAATCTCCTTCTACATTAGATTTCTCATTTCTCCATTACTATTCCATCAATAACATTTCTCGTTTAAGATTATCAGTTTATTGTACATGTCATGTTTTTAAAAATTAATATTTAATTCATTTTTGTCTTAAGTCAATTCATGAATTTAAGAAAACTATCGAACTAATAGTTGGTTCTAATACACCACTTCAACCACCAATCAAAATTCAACACAGGGTACTTAATTATATCAATATTTTAATTATTGATATTTTATTGGCTAATTTATCATTAAAGTAACACATCAATTTATACATATTGATTTAATATTTGCTTTCAGTTGACATCTCGTTCTCTCCTAAGTTACGGGTTCATTAGTCATTATGAGTAAAATTTCGTTTCCTCCCTCCTCTAAGTAGAAATTATACTAAAAAAACACCATCAACGAATCTTTCTTAATTATTTATTTTATTTTTAGAATATCTTTGAAGTGTGCACAAAGATGGCGAATAAAACTCGATACATGCAATTATCATCACGCTATTCCCACGAGAAAACATACGCTTCTTATTTGTCTTGAAGGTTTGTCCATCTGCCATATCTTAAATACGGTGGTTTTCCTTCTTAACTCTCGATTGGCCGTTTTAGAAACTTTGGTGAATTAAATCCCCGGAGAGAAAACCGTAAATAAACATTTTTGAAATTTATATCCAATGCTTAGGTTATACACAGATAATAGCCCTATTATGCTGAAATGACAATGTCCTCGATCGTTAAAGAGAGTATTGTTCTCATCTTTCAAAGTTCTAGATTCAAGCAACTGTATTTTAAAGAGGGATTTGTTTTTGACGATTAAAAAAAATTCTAAACAAATACTACTTTATAATCACTAATACTAATAAAAAATAAATCCAAGATGTAAAAATTGAATTATACTTTTTAAACTTTGATTTCATCTTAACTGATAATGTAGATTAATTCATATAATTATTTTTCGACAAACCTAATATTCAACGCTTTTTTTACCGTCTGTGAATTAAAAACGCCAGTTTCATTTCCAGAAACAGATAAAACTCTGAACACTTAACCATTAGTATTACAATGAATGGGGGAGTTGCATTACAATTTAAAGAAAACATAAAAGTGTAGGTTTATTTTGAAATAAGCGATGGTGTGAGAGTAAATAGGCAGGGGTTGTGGATTTACTCTTTAGCTGTTAGTAGGTGAATCTGAATACATAATTTAATTTGTAGGACCAATTAAATCAATTCATCCTCATCACCTATTGAGGATACGTCTCTCAATCAGGCAACTCTAATGGATAGAATTAAACTAAAATTTATTATTTAAAATTCTAATTGTTATTTTCCTTTCATAAAGTTAAATTTATTAAAGATTTAAATCCGAACCAAATTAACCCAATATATCAAATTGAGTCCTAATGTTATCCAATAGCATACAGAGTAAACCTTCAATCCCATGTGTTAATCAAATTCCTCTTTGTTTTACCTTGTGACTTGACCTTCATTATTTTATTATTATCCGCATATGATATTGATACAAGTTCAACTGATTGATGCTTATATTTTTAATCGTTAAGAAATTAAAGTTTCTTTTTTATATAAAGTAGTGGGATAAACCAAAAGTTTAACCGATGTTAATTACATTAGATTATTAATTATTGTAAAGAGGCACATGAAGCTAAAGACGACAGAAGTAATGGTCACGGCTTTTAATGAAAAAAATTATAAGGTTAAGAAGAATCTTAATTAATGTACACAACCACTAACAAATAAAAGACGGTCCACGTGAGAAAACACCTAGCGTCGTAAATTTTTTGTCATCTTCCAATTCTTTAGGAAAGAATTCCATTAAAAAATCATAAATTGCACGCTTTGAACTTACTATATTTACTTAAAAAAATTCATTAATAGATATTTTTTTATACATGCGCCTCTTTCTTTAGGTTTTTCTTAATTTCTTTTTATGCGCTTCTTTCTGTTATATCTTTTTCTTCATCAGCGGCAACATCGGTCTTAGTATTAATTAGTAATTGATCGCTATTTTTTTATATTTCATTTACTTTTTATATTATATCTTTTTTATGATAGAAATCGCTAATTTTATTAAAAATAAAAAATATTCAAATTATAATAAAAGTTTACAACTACAATTGTAAACTAAATATAAAATAAGAATATTTTTTAAAACACGAGAAACTAGTCACTTAAGATCACACAAGGATCATACATGGAAAAGGTAAAAAACCTAAACAAATAATCTCGAACAAGAGATAAATACGAATAGATCCGAATGCATCAACAAACGAACCACAAAAGGTAATAAAGTTATTGAAAGACCATCGACATACCGCAAATTAGAAACGAGCTGAAAATACTATCCACAAACACAAATTGCATATCCAAATTCAATCCCAGGGTCCAAAGCAGGGAATATCATCATGATAACAAATAATCGTCATTTTGATCAGTTTTAGGATGTCAAATCTAACCTTGAAAAATAAACGAATACAACGGAAAATAACCGAAAAACATGTCATAGTGACAGAGAAAAATATGCCATAAAGGCAAAAGGATATGTGTCAAAAAGGCATAATTGTTAAGAATAAAAAATAAATAAAGATATGCTATAATAAAAAAAAAAAAATAATTAATATCGGCGGGTGGCAACCAGTACCAAGACTAATATCGACGCCGATCATAAAGATAAAGAAAAAAAATAACGACAACTATGAAAAAAAGAGAGAGAAAAAACAAGCCCTCCTTTTGAGTTTTTTAAAGTTTTTTTTATATTTTACATATTTATTTCCTTTTGATTTTTAGTTTTCAATAATTTTGTATTTATGGATGTTTATTTTATTTTTTTGGCACATTTTTAATCGTTTGTCGTTTTTTTGTTTTATCTTTTTTAGAGTTGGATTTAACGATACATCGACTGATTAATATGATGTTTATTTATTATCCTGATGATTTTATCTGCTTTGAACATTCAGATTGAATTAGGATACATAATTGCATTCGTGGATAGTTTTCCCACGTCGCTCAATTCTGATATGCAGTTTGTTAATGATCTTTTACTAGTGTTCATCATCTTTTGTGGTTCGTTTGCCGATCGATTAAATCTATTCGTATGTATCTTTGTTCGAGTATTTTGGTTGGTTTTTAACATTTTCCTTATATCCTTGTATGATCTCACTAGTTTCTTATGTTAATAGTTATAGAAAATATCATAATATGTGTTCAATTTACATTTATTGCTGTAAATATTCATTGTAATTTTGAGTATTTTTCTTTTAATAAAACTAGTCGCTTATATTAAAACAAACTTATTATATCTACTATATGATATTTGTTAATTATGATTAATTATTTTATATATCCTTAAATTATAGTCTATATTTCAAAACGATCCTGAATTTAAGAATATTCTAATTAAGTTCTCGAAATATAAATATAATATAAATGAGGTCTATAGCTGAGCCTTCTTTCTTTAAGCTTCTTTTGCCCCAACCAGCATATATTCCAATAGAAGTGGGCAAAGAAAAAAAAGGGTGAAATTCTCCATCTTCCTTTTTCATTTTCTTTGGGGATTTTTTTTTCTCTTACAGTATGAGGAGCATAACATCTTGTTACAATGAACATGCCATCAAAGTGTCGGATTCTTACTGTTCAGGCCCTTCAAACCAACCGTATCTCTCCCCAAACCTTGCCCCTTCAACTCCAAACACCGTAAAGTGTATATACAAAGCTAGAATCCCCACCCAAAGGCACCTCCTCATCACCCTCACATGGAGCAAAAATCGCCTCGGCCACGGCCTAACGATCAACGTCGGTGAGACGGCATCGAAACTCAACCCCAACACGCACCGTCCCACGAAAAGAAAAGGCAACAAAACGTTCAAAGCCTGCAGTTCGGATATTGAAGTCATTTGGGATATTTCAGATGCACGGTACATCGATGGACCCGAACCGAGTTCTGGGTTTTCGGTCGTCGTTTTAGTCGACTCGCAACTCTGTTTATCTTTAGGAGATATGAATGAACAAGAAGATCCAACAACACCCAAATTTTTATTGGTTTCGAGGAGTGAAGTTTTCGTAGGCACCAGTATCGTCTATTCGGCAAAGGCACAGTTTAGTGATAAAGGATTGACTCATGACATACTAATCAAATGCAACGAAGAAGAAACTGGGAAACGACAAGGATGGAGAAACCCTGAATTGACGGTCACCATTGATGAGAAGAAGATGTTTCAAGTGAATAGATTGAGGTGTAATTTCAGAGGGAATCAGATCATCTTTTTGGATGGATTGTTGATAGATATGATGTGGGATTTGCATGATTGGCTGTTTAACCAGACATCAGGGTGTGCTGTGTTCATGTTTAGGACAAGGAGTGGATTAGATTGCAGGCTTTGGTTCGAAGAAGACAAGGTTAAGGAAAGAGATGAGTTCTCCTTGGTGATATGTGCCTGTAAGAATCCTGACTAACTTGTTTGTTACTAATTCAATTGGGTTTTTTTTTCTTCTATTAATATTATATAAAGTGATTTTTTATTAGGGTTTTGAAATATCAAAGAAGATATAGATAATCTTCTGTTTATAGGAAACTTATATGCTTAACTTGGAATGGAGGGAATGCATAGAAAGAATTGTAAATGGAAACTTCTTGCATGGTTTGTTTCAATAAATTGTGTTATTCAAATTCTAAGGGATGAATATATTTATTTTACTTTTGTCATATATTTATATGATTGTATTTTTATATTTATTTCGTATATTAATATATATTTTTAAGAAAGTGTTATTTGAATTTTTTTAATCATGTGTAAAATTTAAATATGAATTGAAGACAAATTATATTAGTTGATCGAGATAGAATGATATTTGCTGTCTTGTTATATTGTTTTGTGGTATGGCGTTTGAGGGAGACAGAGCAAGTCAAAGGACTGGTTGAAATGAGGATGAAGCTATAAAATATGAAGACATTAGGTTTGTTTTTTTTTTTCTGTAGGATAATCACCAAGACAATAAGGCTCTTTTCTTTCGGATTGAAGCAGTGGTCCCATTCAAAATAACAATAACCCTCTTGTTTATTACTCGAAAACAAGCATAAGTGAAATAAATAGAAAAAAGAAGAAATATATTTATATTTCTAAATAAAATGATGGGACTTTTGTCATGATTTACTTGCCAAGTAGGCAGAACAATGGGCATAATTAATAGAAAAGGTATGAGCCCCATACCCAACAACCACATTCGGTATAAATGACATAATTCATTAATTTAAAAAAAATGTTATTTTGAATAATGAAATGAAGTGTTAATGTGAAACATGGACATGGTTTTCAATGAGTCAGTGTCTCATTGAAAGAATGAAAGCTCAACCGTGTCTGCTTGGGATTAGCTCCCCCTGAAGCCCATCCTTGTCCCTTTCACTTCTTTCCACCAACACAAGTCCATTTGGATAAATTCCTATTTAATCCAATATCATTTTACTTTATATTTTAGCGGTTTTCATTTTTTTAACTTTAACTTCAATTATTGATATTTCATTTCAAAATATTTTAAGGATAAATTAGCCGATTAATCATTTATTATAATGATAAATTTTGATTACAATCATTTGAATATATTGATTGTGATAGGATTCATAAAATCTAAAAAAGAATATATTATATTTGAATAAATAAAAAATAGTTACTAAATGAAGATAAAATTTGGACACAAACATGAATGGTTCTGTTTTGGTTTGGTAAGGGGTTTGATAGGCTCAAGTGTTGCCTTATATCATATTAATTTCATAGGGTACAGTTGGGGGTGAAGGCCCAATGGTGTATTTAAAACTCACCTACATTCTGTTGCATGAAATTGCATCCGACTTCCCAACTTCCCTGAAAGCACAAGCACTGCACCTTTTATCCTCCCAATGCCAAATCAGGTGTAATAACTCGTCCTATAACCAAAAGACTTGTGTTAACTCTGAAAGGTTTATTAATTATTACATCAAAGACTACAATACTATTGTGTTACTGGTTCACAAAGTAAGAGAACTGGCAGAAGCAAAACCACTTTTCATTTTTTTTCTTTCCTAAGAAGGGTGAAAACCAAGACCAAACTGTTGGTTTGGGAGTTTACAGGTTTCCATGGAAGACCAATCATAATTAATAATCCATCAGACACTGTTTTTTATTTTAAAAAAAGGTATATTGTTATTTTGATTGTTTTTAGTATTGGAAATAAAACTTAACTATTATATGAATCTATCAATTAGTTTTAACAGGTGAATGTTGTTATCCTTAAAAATTTTGGGTTGAAATAATTGTGTATGTGGGTGTATATAAATTGTCAATTAATTAAAAAAAATTGAACAAATATTATCTTATAGATTATAAAAAAATCTAAGCATTATATTTAATTTAAAAATATTTATGGTTTCATATATTATAAACTCATCACCGACTATATGAGACTATATGAGCCATATGAATAAGATAATATCTGGAATATATACATGTAAATATTTAACAGTGGGCTAATTATATAGTAAGAGTTTGATTCAATGTAAAGCAAATGCAAATAAAATCTGAGAGATTTTGTTTATAATCTGATCCAAAGTCACTGTTTGCTTAACCTATGCACCGTACTACATAGATATTGTACATAAAACTTTGCACACGTGGGGGATATTTCCATGACAGACTTTACAAAACAACAAATCATGTGCCGATAATATTTACAGATTTCCAGAAATGCTAAAGAAAGATGAAGTATCATATTAAATCCAGCAAGACATTAAGCTAAACCCATTCATATTCCATTAACATCAAAACACAATTGGCTGTACATATGAATTCTCATGATGGGTCAAACACAACGTAAATAGCTAAATGGCCTCTACCCAGACAGGATTACAATAATTGTGAAATGTGCATGCCTCATCAGTTGCTGAGCTTCAAACCATGGTTTTCCCACAAGTTATTTTCTCCATCAGCCATGAAGAACCGAAAGCAACCATCGTTTACACCATGAGAGGACCCATCATCTGCTTGCGTACTGTACATCGACTCATTTTGCTGATGATGATAATAATCATATCCTCTTGAATTCTCCTTCCGTTTCTTGTTTCTCATCATCTCCTTTGTTTTTATTAGCCTACTCCATTTGTTTTTGCACATTAAACTACTCCTTTCAAAGCCTAAGCAACTCATCTTACCAGCTATTTCCTCCCACAAAACAACCTCTTCCGTATACCCTCCCTGTTGGAACCTCGGTTCCATGGCGTTTCTCAGGTGTATCAGCTTAGAAACCTCGGCTTCTTTCCACCCATCCTCCCTTTCATTATGGTTTTCACTGTCGGTCGATGCGGTAGCAGCGTTCAGTTGTTTGGCGGTCAAGTTCTGCAGCGCCTCCATTAAAGCAGCATCACGAGCTTCGATCCAAGATCTCTCTTTAGCCCAAAACTTATGCTCTCTATCGATCCTGCTAGCTTCTTCTTTCCTCCATTGTTCTTCCCTTAAAACCCTCTCCTCTTCATTCTGCTCGAGCATCTTCGTCAGTTTCGCAAGCCAAGCCTCTTGCCTCTCCATTAGCATCCCGATTTGAGAATCGATGAACTCTTTTATTTTCGCTTTCCATCTCCTGCAACCCCTTTTCTTTGTGGTGCTCAACTCGTTGTTATCCGAGGAAGAAGAATCGAATTTGGAGGAAGTAGAGAGGCTAAGAATATTATCACAAAGCTTTTGAGAGTGATAGATCTCTTGATTTGGTTGAATGCCACGAAAATGGCAAGCGTTCCCTACAAGGTGAGCTTCTTGACCTGAAACGCCATTGTTGTTGCAGATATTACCTCCATATAAAGCTTCGAGTTGACGAAAGAATCTATAGTGTTTACCGTCTTGTCTACCAGCCTTCCCTTCCTTAGTATTTTTATAATATTTATACAAGTTTTCGAATTTCTCCCTGCATTTTCTCCCACTCCTTTGATACCCATGTTCCTTGAGCATGATCCTATAGAACAAAAATGGCAATGGATTCAAATTTGCAAATAAACCCAGATAAGTTAATTATTTGACCATTCAAAATTTGCAAAAACAAAGATAAGACTTTTCAAGGGACTAACGAAAACGTCTTCTCATGGATAGAAACTAGCAAATGGGCATTTAAAACATCAAAAAGGCTTATAATTTTTATGGTGAAAATCAGCACAGGCAACACATTTTCAAACGAAAAAAAAAGGAAACAAGTCATTATAAGACTATTGAAATCTTTTCAGAAATTTAATAAGAAAGAAGAGACTCGTGAAAAGAAAAACTGCAAACAAGAACACTGTTCCTGCTTCTGCTTCTTCTGATTCTAAACTTCAACTTGTTATAAGTTTATACTTTTTCTTTTCTTTTCTTAAAGCCATAAATTTGTTTCAGAAGTTCTCTCTAATAATAACGCCAAGAAAAAAGAGAGTGCAGTCATGGTTAAATAAAGAAATAAATGCATTTTTTGCTTAAACCCCATTTCATATCTTTGAAGAGAGAATTAGGTAAGGGGTTATGGGACAATATAATTGTGTGTACATATACACCTGGAAACTTCATCCCACAATGGACCCTTTTGATTCGCTTCTTTGAATTTGGGATCCAGACGAGATCTGATCTCAAGAAGTGTTAAAGTCTCTTGCCTCGGCCACCTTCCCGTTCCGCCGTCGCCTCGAAAACCAGTGGCAGTGTCACCATCGAAGCCACAGCTGGGACTAAGTGTGGAAGCACTAGTGACTGTCGCAATGGCAGCCATGGGATCACTAGTGTTATTATTATCAGCAGTCGACCCAACTTGCATACCCACCATTTGCATCATATCGAAGGGGTGGTGGTTGGGCTGGTGCGGTGGCGGTGGCGGTGGATTCCTGTGGCCGGGAGAAAACAACTCAGTAGTATCCAGTGGAAAATCTTGGAAATTTATCGGCTTTCCGTTCAGCAGTTGCCTGAGATCAGGAATGGAATACTGCTGGTGACGATGATCCTCCATTTCCATATGGATTTTACGTTAGAAAAAGGAAAGAGTAGGGTAAAGCTACAAGAAAGAAAGAGAGAAAGAGAAAAGTTTTTAATAGAGAGGAAGAGTGAAGAGACAGCGGCAGACTCGGATTGTGTCGTCTACGAAAAAATCTCTAATTTAAGCTTAGGACAATAGTCCCATTTGTGTAATTTAAATATACATAGTTCTGCTACCACTCGAATACGTACATTTATACACCAATCTAATCAAAACTTTACGGCAAAATACATAAATGGTCCCTTAACTACAGGATGATGATTTTGTTGAGTCTTCTGATTACTAAAAGATACAATATGGTCCCTCGACTTTATTATGTTGTTTTGTTGAGTCCGTTGACTATTAAAAGTTACAAAATGGTCACCTGACTATTGATATGTTCCAAACTCGTCATTTTATGTTAAAAAATTGATGACAGTCTTAGCTGAACGTTAATTTGCTAACTATGATATGATAAAATCTGATCATAGGATCTCAAACGACTATCATATCTCAGCCATCACGTTAACATCCAGCTCAGAAGACTACTATTTTTTTAACGAAAAAGTACGAGTTTGGAACATATGAATAGTCAAATAACTATTTTATAACTTTTAACAGTCGAGTAACTCAACAAATCAACATATTATAGTTGAGGGACCATGTTGTATCTTTTAATAGTCAGATGACTCAATAAAACATTACCCTATAGTTAGGTGACTATTTGTGTACTTTACCCAAAATTTTATTTCCACTGTCCCTCTAAATTTGGTTATATTGAATTTTAAAATTGTATCACTCAAAATATCATATTAAAAAAATCAACGATAATATTTATATTTCTTTTTGTTTTTATTTATCATATTTTTCATAATTATTAAAAGATCTTTCAATCACTTTTTAAAGATAACTTTGTCATTTCTTTATTTTATATAACTTAATATATAATCAAATATATTTCTTAAAACTATATACTTGATTAATACAAAATAAAAATTACGAGACAAAAAGAAAAATATGTTTTATATAACAATGTGTTTTTATTTTTTTAATCAAAACTGAATATCTATAAAGAGAAAACCTGAAAAATAAAAAATAAAAACATAGAATGGAATAGTTTTTTTTAAGATCGGTAATTGAAGAATTGACGTAGATAGGGTAGAGGGCCCTCTTGTTTTTGTTAGGATTTCAATGTAAAATATGAAGGCAGCCCATGTGATTCCAAAGATATGAATTGACGTAGATAGGGTAGAGGGCCGTACCACCAAATGTCTATTTATTTACTTATTTTTAAAATATTCACTTTATTCACAATTATCATATTTAAAATTAAATTAATCGAGTTTCAAATGAATTTTGTTACCAAATGTTTACTAATTTTCATTTTTTAGGTATGGAATGATAAATTGTGTTGCCCCAAACATTTAAATATTCAAACAAATTAGGGTTTTTTTATTCAACTAAACTTGTAAAATCTATTATTTTTACATCTATACTAATTGTTTTACGGTTTTCATATATGTTTTTATTGGAACAAATTTGCGGTATATATTTAAAGCTTATGACTATTTGTTTTATTTATATCCTTCAAAGTTTGAATGCAATTCATTTTATAATGCAAAGAGAATAAACAGGAGTAGCTGTGTTCTCCGCAGCTATAACAACCCCATGAGCAGAATGCCCAACACTGCTGCCAGCCAGGATGCTCGTCCTCCGGTTGTCATCAAATCGGCAATAGTATTCGGTGGACTCTGGAATTTCTGAATGCCAAGCCATTTTAGCAAGACCATCGGTCATTTTGTTACACTCACGGAGGACAAAACGAAACAAAAAGTTATAGTTCCGATCAAGAAGTGCATCAATGTGAGGGAGCATAGATGCGGCAACCTTCAACTCCTAACCTCTGGTTATAGCAATAATGGCCTCTTTACTATCCGTCTCCACGATAATCTTTTAAAATTCGTATCTTAAGCAATACATAGACCTTCATAAATATCCTAAAGTTCAACGTTAAATACCGACCATATCTCGATGGTCTTCGAGAACCCGATGATCCACTCCCCCATATATGAGATCGTAAGAGCCCTACACAAGCAGCCAACTTAAAATAAACACGTAAATAAAAAATTAAATACAATTTAAATATTGTTATAATAAAGCTTTTAGATAATAATTTATATTAGGTGATATTTGAGTAAAACTGCGATAAATGAGGTGGTGACGTTGAAAATGATGAAATAAAAAAAAAGTAGAAAAGGGGTAGGCAGGCATGCGTAGAGAATTGGACTTTAGAAGTCAGGGCAAATTGCGACAACAACTGATCAGAAGAATCTGACAACTCTACGTTGGAGAGTGTGTGTTGAGATAGCTAAAATCTAATTGCTTTGCTTTTCAATTTGCACAACGTTCCATCCATGCACATGCATGCATGCAGTTTACAATTATATATTTATTGCTATTACTTTTCACATGTATATACTATGTATCATATATATATATATATACACAAGAAATAAAATCATATTTTATAGTTATATTTAGATAAGGATACATATATTTTAACAAAATATTTAGTATTCTACATGTATTTTAAAATATTTAATATGATCATTACCATGTAATAATTTATTACCAACAATAGTATATTTTTTGGTGAAAATAATGTGAATGTCATTACTTCAAAATTCGTAGGTATTACATCATTCTCATCACTTTGATAAGAATATCCCTAGAATAAAGAATTATTTTCATTTGGATTCTTCTCGATTCTTATCCTTTGTGCTTTACTAATAATTATAAACATAATAATAATTATATATAAACATTTTGAATTAGTAAAATATTAATAAATTTGATGAGTTAAATTATTTTATATTTTTTATGTTTAATATGTTAATCATTTATAATTTCATGAGGTGAAAAATGTAATTATTTAAAATAATAGCTAACTTTGAGTTATTAAAAATGAATCTTATACATTGAAAAATAATATCTTTGTCCACTCGAGATCACAACATTATTTTTATATTATATCATATTTTATTTTATATAAATAAATATGATATTTATGAAAAATATTTAAAAAAAAAATAAGTTTGATATACTAATTATATTAATTATATGTTAAATATACTTTTTCTTAAAAGTTATATAGTGTAACAATTGAAATATTTCTATAGATTTTTATTCAAATATTTATAATTTAATATTAAAGTTTAACTTGTTGAATATATATATATATATGTATCACAGGAATAATTTGGTAAAATATACGTCTAAGTAATCTTATATTCCTCAAGCCAAACACTGTAATCTTACTTTCTTACTTACACAAACCAAATAAGGTAATACAAGATTTTCATTCAGGGAACCAAAGTCCCCTTATAGTATCTAAACTTTCATTGATTAATTTGTCCAATGAAGAATCCATAAATTTAAAAATAGAGTTAAAAAATTTTAATACTCATTTCTTTTAAACAAAATGAGTATGTAATTTTTTCTCCTTTCCTTGATATATTGAGCTACATTTAATAATTTATCCAAAATATGGAGCCAAGTGCATCCACCCCTGAATTTGTCACTTACAAACAATGTTAACTCGTGTATCACAAAAACAACTATAACTAATAGTGTTAACTGAAGTATCATAATAATACACGAAATGATAATTCAAATATCATATCAAACATTTTGAAGAAAAACAGTATAGGTACCGCATTGCATATTTTAAAATTATAGGTACTAAATTGAATGTTTTATCAAAGTATAGATACCATATTAAATATTAAAATATGAGTAAAATATTAGATATTCTCTCAAAGTACATGCACGCCATTGAGATTTTAAAAGTGTAAATATCGTTGTAATTTTTTTGTATCGATTATATTTGATAAATTAAAATTTGAGATTTACTCGTGAATACTATTACTTTGGTGTAAATTATACCTGATCATCATCTTTATATTATAAGAAGGAACCAAAAAAATTAACATATATTTTTAACATCTCTCAAATGTCGTGAATTCGAGTACCATCAACTGTAAAGGTGATTGAGCGTTCATTGTTAAATGATTAAGAATATTTAGAACATATATATTATTTTATAATCACCTTAATTTAATAGAAAAAAACCAACCATCTAAAAAAATATGCATCGTTGTGAAAAATTCTCACTCAAAATCATATTGTTTTTATTTGATAATGATTAAATATGGTGAATAAGAAATGTGAATGGTTTAGATGATTGAGAAAAATCTCACATTTTTTAACCATTTATAGGAGAAATTTTCTATTAATTTGTTTTACAGATTAGTAGTTTATTGTATAAGTTAAGATATATATGCTCTATAACTTTATTTTATTTTCCTTTTTAAAAATATTTTAAGAGGGAAATTATTAAAAAAAATAGTTTATAAATTTATGTTTATGAAATTACACACAAATTTACGTGATTTGATAAAGAAAATTATTACTGATGCAGGTCATTTATTTGTCAATATGGTTGAGTTATTCTAGACAAGAGTTTTTTCAAAAGTGACAGAAGAACGTGATTTCTTGGAGTATTTTTAATGGTTTTTTTTTGTTCTTTAAACTGCTCTACGAATGAACAAAACTGTATAATTTGTCTACGACAACACATATAAAAATCAATTTTTTAAAACACATTATTTCAGAAAAAAAATATTTGATAATTTTTGAATAAATTTTTGGATTATTATTTTAAGAAATTAAAAAATCCAGGTAAACATGATTTTAATTATTAAATTATTAATCGACTTTATGAAACAAAAATTGACATGTAATTTCCCGTAAAAATTCATTGAACCCAAAAACAATAGTTCCACGATCATAATTTTAAAATCTCATCGTTATACATGATAACAACGGGATTACTGCAATGTGGGCTGTCTTGCATATTCAGGGTATGCAAAAGTGTTAATGAACAAACCATGGCATGCAACAATAATTATAAAAAGGAATATGGTCCATATGATATTAAAAGGCAGAGTTTATTGAATGAAACACCGTCTCCATTTCAATATTGCATCCTATGGTGACGAAATTTCGGCATCCATATGAGGGGACTGCTTTACCAATGACGGCTACCCACCCCAATGCCTTATAATCATAACCTCTCCCGATGGCGATGGGATTGCTCAATAATTACATTCATCCAGAGTCGCAATTTGTTTTCATAATTGCTGTATTTGCGATTGTATTAATAAAAATATGTGAAGTGTATTTAACGTTTGGGAAAACCATAGGAGCATTTTACATCTTTGGATAAAGACGTATAAAAGATATACTATCTTTCTTGGTGAGTCGGCGGCGACCTCATACTGTCCAATTATTTTAGGGTTGACTACCCAAATTATGTTATATACAGTTTGATGAAATGTATAATCTAGAAGTTATCTAATCGTTCGATCGTTTTTTTAATTATATTATCTAAGAAATTTTGGGTAAATTTATTTAGTAATGTCAAATTGTAATGAAATACGATAATAGGGTACTTTAGACAAAGTCACTTCGTTCGGGCACTTTAAATGGGAGAAGGGGTTGATTGCTTAGCCGGAAAACACCCAAGAAAAGGGTTGCCAAGCTTTTTTGGTTGAGTTTTTGTAGTTAAAAGTTGTCTTATCGATTTGTGTGAGAGTGAGTTGTCACCATTGAAATGCTTAATCATGATGCTTAAGCAAAGTTTAAAGGCTTTGATTTAGGCATTAATGAATTAAAGATTTCCCGACACGTCCTTTTTGTTGCCCAAAAGCATCTTTCTTTTATTGTGATAAAAAATTGGGTATTTCTCCGAAATATTTTTATGTAGTTTTCTCTTTTTTATTTTTTTATTTAACCCACAGTGATATTTATTTTATTTTTTTTTAAATTTTTGAATAAAATCTTTGTTTTTGTAACACATTTTTCTTTATTCTTATAATATACTTTTTCTCTGCTCTTATACCAGCAAAATAAACCTAAAGAAATTATTCATGTAATTTAACCTAAAATATCCATATAATCTGTATCTATTTCCCGAAGCTATAATACAATAACTTCGTAAAAGACGTACATATATTTGAAAGGACGTGTGATATTTTGTGGTGGAGAACAATGGGCTTTTCTTCTCAGAACAATGGGCTTTTCTTCATTGACACAACACAAAGTTAAATGTGATTATCTTTCAGATTAATAGCAAAAGTGTCCAGACAATGTGATGAGAAAGTTTATTTCCTAAAATGATGCGTTCAGCCGATTAATTTCTCATCTAGGGTATTTTTTTTACAATATTTCATGATTGCATGGGATATCTCGGCGTCTTCAAGGGAAAATTTTCTCATGCAAACCACCCTTTGAAAATCAGTTGGAAATCTCGGAGTCTTTAGGGTGAAAATCCCGACGTCTTTAGGATTTTAATGCAAAAAAAAAGTTGACATATTTACAGAAATATCACCTTAATAGAAATTAATTACTTATTATATCAGTATTTTTTTTTGAAATGGTGCCTAAAAAATAATTAATTTTTGTTATAATAATATTTGTGTAAAAACACCAAATTTTTTCCTTCATTTAAATCTTTAAATATGTTTTTTCAAATTATCTTATAACTCGATAAATTTTAGTTTTGCATGAAATTACACAATACAATTATGCCTACCAATTATCACTTGACACTTTCTAATACGTTTTTGACTCTTTCAAAATCCTATGCGTATAGTATAGTATAGAAAAACTTTGAGGGTAAATAATTTAAAATATAAATAATTTTATAAAAGTTTTATAACTAGTATTTATTTTTCAATGTGTCGCGCCTTTTTACAAAAAAAAAATTCAAAATGATGATGATGATGATTATCCAATTATTTTATAAAATTATTCCTGCATTAAAATCTTTAAATACTTTTACAAATTATTTTAATAAAGAAAAAAGTTAGCGTTTTACACAAATATCATCCTAATAAAAATTAATTACTTATTAGGCATCGTTTCAGAAAATTTTACAAATCTAACAAGTAATTAATTTTTGTTAAGGTGATATTTATGTAAAAACGCCAACTTTTTTTCTGCATTAAAATCCTAAAGACTCCTCGATTTTCAATAAGGAATAATTCACCATGAAGATGCCTAGATTTCCAACTGATTTTCAAAGGGTGGTTTGCATGGGAAAATTTTCCCTTGAAGACGTCGAGATATCCTATGCGGCCATGAAACACAGTAGAAAACACCCTAGATGGAGAATTAATTGGCTAAGTGCATCATTTTGGGAAATAAACTTTTTTAGGAAGACTTTTTTAGTATTGTGATATATTTAATTTGTAGATGTGGTGCGTGCATATTTTTCTATATATTTTTTTTATATAAATATGAGGTAAATATAATATATCATATGTTCAAATATTCTAAATTATGTAACATTGAACGTTCATACTCTTAATATTTACAATGCTCAAACGCGAATCTTCAAAAAATAATAATAAATCTTTTAATCATTAAAGTTGTTTAATTAACATCCCTCTCCCAGTAAATTGATAAAATGTAAAACTCTATTTTCTAATTATCATTTTTTTATACTTTTAGATCGAGTGAAAGAAAAAGAATAATTAATCTGTAATTATTAATGTTCTTCGAACAGATAAACTGTATTAATTAACAATGCTCAACAAATTGAAAGTGAATCTCTTTTAATTAGGCTGCAAACTTTAATTTCATGGGCTCATAAACATTTCTGGTGTCTATAATTTGGTCCAAGTTTAATAATATAAAATTGTCCAACAATTACACGATCCAAGTTTAACAATTGCTCTACTTTTAAAACTGTAAACGCAGAGAAAACAATATTCTCGTTTACCACTAAAATCATCGGATGGGTTTAATAAAAGGGATTTTTTTTAAATAGTTGCAATGTAATCAGAACAACGAATTGACTTTTTTCACATAGATACTGTCGTTTACATACATAAGAAAGCAATAGTCCTGTAAACGAACCGAACGCATACGAACGGATGTATATTCATGTTCGTTCATTTAATAAATAAACGAACATAAACGAACAAATTTTGTTTGTTCATGTTCGTTTATGAAGGAATTTAACTTGTTCATGTTCGTTCATTTAATAAATAAACGAACACGAACATAAATGAACACGAACATAAACGTTGGAGACCCTACCTTCCATTGTTCTTTCATGAAAAATAGTCGACAATGCAAACCAACCAAATCTACAGTGATAAATAACGTAAGAGCTGATTAGCAGTGATGAAATGTTTGAAGATATCAAATATTTCGATCGATCTTTTAAATATATTAAATGATTCACACGACTTTAATTTAACGCTATAATATTTATCTTAGTGATCCATGATTACATATGAACAATTATTTTCCAGTACGTTATTCTAACAAATTGAAAGTGAATCTTCTTTTAATTAGGCTGCAAACTTTAATTTCATGGGCTCCATTTTTCAAACATTTCTGGGCAATGGGTCAATTGAACTACAAGGAGTAGGCCTTAAATTCGTGTCTCTAGTTTGGTCCAAGTTAAATAATATTGAATTGTCCAACAATTACACGATCCAAGTTTAATAATTGCTCTACTTTTTAAACTGTAAACGCAGAGAAAACAATATTCTCGTTTACTACTAAAATCATCGGATGAGTTTAATGAAAGGGATTTTTTAAAATAGTTGCAATGTAATCAGAACAACGAAGTGACCTTTTTCACATAGATATTGTCGTTTATATACAGAAGAAAGCAACAAAATTATCCTTCAAACATGGAAATTTTTCCACGTTTCAGTGTTTGGAAAACAAATCAGTAAAGAAACTTGTGGTTGTCAATTAAAACAAGCAAAAGATGTTTATTTTAATCAATAAGCCTCCCATATTCCTTTCTATATTCATTTCAGTACAAAGTTTGGCCTATATTCTAAATGTTTGATTAAACCCAGGGACGAATATGATTTAATTGGTTTTAGGTTATTAATATTTTTGGAATAATTACAATTAAACCCTTGTCCCTCCCAAAATTTACTGGTCTAATTATATTTTAAGACCTTTCAGTTTTAAAATGAAATTTGATTCCTAATTTTTTTTCTGGTTTAATTACTCTTTAATATCCTTCAGTCATAAAATTAGTTAAATTAAACTACAACTTCTGATTTATTCAATTTTAAAGACCCTATTTATTTCAAAGTTAAACCATGGCTCCATCCTTGACTAAACCAGAATATAATAAGCAACCTAAGCTACGTTCAAACAAGATAATTTCGAGTTAGTCGATATCATTCCTTAAGGATACTTTCATGAATTAATTAGGCTAAATTTCGGCTTAATCGATATCACTAGATAAATGAATATATATATCCCATTAAGGCCATGATCAATGCTAAATACATGAATATTATTGCATATACATAAATATTCTGCTATTGTCCTAACAGCAAGTCAGGCTGTACTGCTCTCTAATTAGCACATGTCTTTCGAAAAGGAAAGTCACCTTAGCTTCAAAAAATTTAGCCATCAAATTCAAACCCCATTTAAAAAATCTAGTTCGTCACTCAGTTCTTGCATCAGTAATCCAAAGATGGCGCGTTCGACTTCGATTGTCATCTCTCGAATCTGTTCTTCATTTCCTTTCCAACCCTCAATCTGATCTCTTCTGAAATCTTGTTCCACCATCATGTCAATGGTGTTTGACTCTACATCTTTCCATGAATCCAGTTTTGTGCATACCCTTTCCGCTGCCGCTTTTTTATTGATGGAACCGTTACATTCCGACGTCTCTTCCTCGGCAATGATATCGGATACTAGCCTTTTCATGCAATCTGGGATATGTTTTAGATTGTAGCCATCAATGTTCATTTCACTTTTTGATGAAGATGACTCGGCGTCATTGTCATCATCATCTTGCTCTTGTTCTAACATTATTTTCTCGAGCTCGATTGGATCCAATTTGGCCAGTTTCTCGAATCTACAAAGTTTTTGCAGAAACTGCTGCTTAGCTCCTGGTGATGAAACAAGAAAAGGACATCAATAAAACGGCAATCATTATTAAAATAAGCATTGAAATTAAAAATCATCAAAAGCATCAGTGTTCAAACTAAGCCCATAAATTTTTTCATTTGTGACAGATCTCCTAACTTTGAAATGTGGGTCCTTGTGAAGTTGTGACAAAACAATGGTGTCTGTTTCAACAGGTCAGTCTAACCTACCTTGATGTACAAGGTAACATCTAATGGCAACAATATCTCCATGGATCACACATTACATATACCATCATCATCATCATCAAAGGCTATATTCATTTGAAAAACCTTTACCAACTTCTTTTATGGCTAACAAGTTTAAGCATTCAAAGCAATTAAAAAAAAACGTACTTTGTACTATTGCATAGGTGCATTCAAGATCGAAACGGTCCATTCCATTATCACCATCATGGTCCTCCTCGTCGTCAGCAGCCACATGCCTATCATCATCCTCGAATGGACAGTCCAAAACAGAAACAGGACTGCATTGTTCTTTTTCTTCTTCTTCTTCAAGTTGCAACCTTGTTAAGCTCTGTAATTCATAATTTTCCTTCTCCTGTTACATATCAATACACCAGCCGTTGATTAAGAAATGTTCATATTCAGACAACAGATCAGAGGAACACAGAGACAAAATATGTCAGATTGTGGTTTTATTCCCTATACTAATTATAAAAATTGAGTCCATGAGCTTTAATTTGTCATAATTTTAGCACACCGACGAAGACCCATTAAAACCAGTCAAATCAACGAAGACCTAGTAGGGCATATATGCCAATTTAGATCAAATAACGGCAAAAAAACAACAGCAGCAAAAAGTGTTTCCATTTGCCGACGGTTCAAGCATGTCAGAGAACTCAACTCAGTCACCTGAGTCACGAGTTTACTAAAAAAAACTCTCAAAGTGAAGAAGCTTTAAACATATAAGAGTTGGTGTTATAATTAACCAAATTGATTATAATTGATCTCTGAATTAAATGTACTAACCTCTCTTTCACGGCGGCTTGGAGATGGGGTTGTTTGAAGCACGAAAAGGAAAGGGCTTTGTGAAAAGTGCTTATCAAAAGAATCAAAAGCTGAGTTATATTCTAAAACTCCATTGGACATTGAAATCTCTTCAGAATCCTTTGATTGACCACTGCTACACGAAGTGCCCAAGTCCATGTCCACGGATTTTTCTTCATTTTCCTCTTCACTTATTCCATTATTTTTCCCCAGAGTTAAATCCCACCTCAAAATGTCCTTGACTGAAACTTTTGATCCACTGTTAGCTGTTTCACGCTCTGGGTTTTTGTTTCTATGAGTTAGTTTCTTCAGAATGGAACCAAACAACCCAAAACCGGTGTCATTGCTGTTTTTGTTTTGGGATTTGCTTTGTGATGAAGATTGCTTTTGAATTCTAAGAGCGGCATCGAGGAGAAATATGGTGTTGGGTCTTTTGGGTTCAAACAAAGGGGATTTCTTTATCAAGTCCGGGGAATCATGGGTCGAGAAAAAGCAGGCTTTTTTGCAGAAATTCGAAGGAAAGATTGAGTTTTGAGAGATGGGTTTTCGTTTGTTGAATTGAAGATGAGTTTTTGGCGATGGTTTCTGGAGTTGACAACGCCGATCGGCAATGTAATTCTTGAGAATAAATGGCTCTTGATCCTCTTCCAGCAACTCGTGCAAATGCTTTTGAGCCATCATCAAAAGCTTTTCACTTCGACAAATGTAAATTATATATACGGAAAAATGAACAATCTAGAGAAGCTATGGGTTCTAGCACCGTGAAAGAGTTGAAGAGAATTCAGCTTTGAACCAGGAAAAAAACACAGCAAAAGATGAGAGTTTTGATGAAGAAGAAGTTGGGGTATGAATAAATAAAAAGGAAATATATATAGAAAGTAGAATTATAAAGGAAAGAATGAGGAGAGTTCGTGGATTCAAATCTTGTAGATTTAGCAAATCGAGGCGATGATAAAGAAACAATTATACTGTAAAATATACTTAAAATTCTGACATTTTACACAAAAACAGCAAAAAAGAAAAAGAAATAGAAAAATGCTGCAAATTGTAGAGAGTATTGAAGTAAAAAGAAAAATGGTTTTGTTTCGTCTTAAAGAAACTCCAGAGACGGTCTCTCCTATACATTTTTGTCACGTTGTCTTTTTCCGTGTTGTATAATAATTATATATTTAATGAGAAAAAAGGAAAGTTAGTTAAATTTTGGGAAAATGGTAAAAACAAGATTAGGGAAATACTTGTTGAAAATACGAATGATTTCTTTAAGATTATTACATGGAAACTCCATGCATGGAGAAAAACTATCATTGTTATCAAAGATAACTAGAGAAATTGTTAGGTAAAAATTGATATGATACATGAATAATTTTATAATTTTCATATCTCACGTACATTTAACAAAATATTTAATTTTACCTTCCAACGCTTTAATACGAAAGAATTATAAAGCCAAATAAATATTTCAATGCTTGACTGTGTACAAATATATCACGAGAATTTACCTCTCATTTTCAAATGAGATCATACTCCTTGTTCGTGACAAATTAGATTGTGCTAGATTCTACCTCGTATCTTTTTATTGATCTTACTTCTTTTTGGATAGTAGCTGATCTTATGATTTCTTAATTGTATTAACATGTCTTCTATGTTTGTAATTCATAAATCAAAGTTGACATTTATATCCAATTTATTTATGTCACATTTCATAACGTATGTCATCGTAATCTGTGAACAATATCATATAATCCTTAAGCTATGAATGGCAAGAATCGTTTACATACTATGTATTTATTTAACAATAGTTTTTCCGAACATAAACTTTTATCTTACTACGCATATTTTTAGTAATTATCGACTGAGAATCCACAAATAACCTACAAAGTACAATCTTAAAGATCTGAAAGTAACTATAAAAAAGTTCTGATATGGAGGTTCAAACAATGTTGAAACCACATACATACAAAGATGATCACTCATTCATCTTCATTCTGATACTAATTAAAAATAAATTATAAAATCACTTTGCCTTAAAATTATAGGCTAAACAAGATAAATACACTAAAAAATGATACAATAAATAAAACATAAAATGTTACATGAAAACTCCCTAAAATTAAACAGACAAAAGAAAACTTGCGATACATGTCAAATAGTTTAACCTTAAAAATATAATTTATCTATTATAGCTTAAAATTTTTAATTGAGTTATTTGCATCATATGTCCATAACTATAATTCTCATTTTAAATTGATCCTTAAACTCTTGAAGATTTTAATTTAGTCCTCAAACTATGAATCTCATTCTAAATTAGTCATCAAACTTTGAACATTCTAATTTTATCCCTAAACTACTACCCTCTTTCTAAAATGGTCCCCAAACTTTTGAATATTCTAAATTCATCCAAATATGTAATTAGTTTCAACCATAGTTTAAGCTAAATTTTGTTATTTTTTTCAAACATATAATAATACTACTTGACCTAACGATTTTATTAGCAAAGCATGCGATTAGCATATGCGTACAATTTGGGATAAAATTGGAATGTTTAGAAAGCTTAGGGAATAATTTAGAATGAAGGTCATAATTTGGGAATGAAATTAAAATGTTTAAAAGTTTAAGGATGAAATTGAAATATTTAAAAGTTTAGGAACTAATTTAAAACGAGTGAATCAAAACATTTAAAATTTTAGAACATGTGATGGAATTACCTCTTTTTAAGTTAGTGTCATTAATCAATAAGTACCAACTCAATCATTAACACAATAAGGTGAAGATACGTAAACATATAATTCTTTTATTATACCAATATCTATACATTTGTATGAACATTTATTTTATCATCTTAATGTTAAAACTAAAACTATTTCGAGCGATATCGTATATTATAACCACATGAAAAATATTAAAATTAATATTTTAATATTGCATAAAAAAAACTAATAACCGGCTCATATTTAACTACCACCAAAGTTTTTTAGTGCATTTACTAATGTATTTGTATGCTTTCACCATATAATTGGCGTGTCGTTTTTAATATGTTAAATTTAAGAACAAATGATTAAATAATGTCAACTTTTCAGTAATCACGGTGAAATGACTATAACAAACTTAGTGTGATCCACACACCATGAAGCCGAGCTCTTACGGAAATTTGTAATTGATCTCGTACTAATTTTATAAAATTGAATAGGATTATAGAAATGGTAAAAATATTTAATATTTAATATTGTTGTAGAGATGAGGTTTAATTTATAAAATTGAGGTAAATAAATGAAATTGGAGATTTGAAAAAAGAATGAATGTTTGACAGCGAAAAGAGCAGCTCCTGAGATCTGCATGTCTGCAAAATTGACGTACTTCCCACCAACGCTTAAACAATGAAATGCGTACCCCATTATTACTCCCACTTTTTACTTTTATTTTTTAAAGTAATCAAAATATTTGCTTTATCCCTTTATATGATAAACTTGTTTTTTTTTTTTGGGATTTACAAACCCCCTACCCGCACCAATCCATATGATTCACCAGGAAGATATGAATGGATTTCCTTGATGCTTTGAATCTTTACTATATTAATTGCTATATATTTTTATATGTTTGAAATGTATTTGTGTGTTAAAATAGAGAAAATTACTTTAAATATCATTGAACAATATATGTTGACTCATTTATATCATTAAACTTTTTAAATTTTTACGAATTATAATATTGAATTATAGTTTTACATTCAATTATATCATTATGATGTTTGTCACTAACGAGACGATGACATTACTAACGATTATTGATGTGACATTTCATACCAAAACAATGTCGTTTTGGAACTAAGTTTTTCGCGAAAGATAATTTGTGACATACATTTATTTGCTGTAAAAGACGGTTAAATAGTTCAGTGCCCAGAGAGTAAAGTATTTAAACGTTAAATGGAAAAATTGATACACTTTTAACGTTCCATGTCTAAAACTATGTCGTTTTGGTGTGTAATGTCACGTCGACAACCGTTAGACATATCATTGTCTCATTGGTTACTTAACTACAAAGTAACATAATTGAATGCAAAACTAAAGTTCAATGTTATAATTAGTAAAATTAAAAGTTCAACAATATTAACAAGTCAACGAGTAAAGTTTAGTTGTATTTGAAGTATTTTTTTCTCTCTTAAAATTATCATTATAATAGATGAGTTATTGGGCCCTTTAAAGTTAAAAGATGATTATTCAATTTAATTGTTTAAGTGAAAAATAAATTACCAAGTTTAATTGTAATATTTTATCTTTTAGGTTTAGTTTAATTTTTTTTAACTAGAATTAAGTTTATGAAATTTTAGTTGACTCAAATATATATATATATATTAATTTTTATTTAAATTTAAACATAATAATTTATGATGATACGTATTATTGGTTTCAATTAAACGATTATCTCTAACTATATATATAAATTATATACATTATAATTTCTTTCGTATGTGCAAGTAAGATTTATAACATTATTTAATAAATCAAATATCATATAAAACTACATAACATGTTTATAATGTTAGTTTTTAAATAATAGATTATGATGCTAAGGTATTGAATAGAGTATAGAAGAGCTAAGAATTTGATGGGAAGAAAAAAATTGTAAAGTTAAATAAAAGATAAAATTTAGTGAATGAATTAATTTTTTTATCAAAAAGAGTATGTGAATTAAATTTTAAAAAATACATTTAAAACAAAAAAACAAAAAAAAACAAGATAATTATAGATCATCACAAAATAATCAAATTACTAAAAGATAAAAATAATATTATATTATATTATTTTTGTTTTTTTCAAATTAAAAATTATATTAAAATATAAAAAACCATTAGAAGAATCAATATATTGTACCAATTAATATAGGTCAGTATACATCGATACAGTAGCCGAGTTTTTTTTTAATTTCATTTAAATTGTTTTAAATCGTTAGCTAAAGGGTTAAAAAAAGCATTTAGAACATTAGAAAATCAAATTACACAGAGTTGAGTTATTTCCATTGAAAAATCAGTTTAGCACTCCTGTTGACCAAAATTAATTCTTTTTGACTATCTTGATGTCAATATTTGATTATGTGGTAAACGAGAGGTTGAATTTTCACGCGGTGGTCCATTAGGATCTTATCCTATTTTGTTTTACACGATACATTAATAAATAATGATAATTTAAGTTAAATTAATATAAATTTTTTGGAATACTGAAATTACCATAATTTTAAACATTGAGAATTTTCTAAAATAATATTACAAAAGTTACCAAATTTTAAAAATATAAAAA